TTTTCTCCATTGAAGATCAGTGGTCAGTTAAGAGCAACCTGTTACTTCTTTGTTTTTTAGCTTGGCTTTTTAAATGCATTTTATGTGATTTCATGATCTAAAATCAGCCATTTGGTGTGCCAGCATTGTGATCTGGACCCCACCCTTCTGTTCGAGTACACAGGCAGAAACCAGTTTGTTCAGCATCACTCACAGTGATCATATTAAATCTGTTTATTGAATCTGCAGACTCACATTGTAACCTGGAATTCTCTCACCACTTTGATACATGATTCTAGGAGCTCAAATCTAGAGGCAAATTGGTTCTAGAAAGCTTTAATGCAGGCTTTCGATCAGCAGCAGATTAGACTCAGTCTGACGTAAAAGGCTTAGTAAATGCTATGGCCTCTTGAGATTTTTACTCAGTAATAAGGCCTCTCTAATAGATATGCACTTCAAATTCAGATACATTAAAGGTCAGGAGAATGACTGGGCAGATTCTAAGCACACTCACAGTAACAGACATCCAAGTAAGAAATACTACAATATGAATAACTATTTGAAATGTGTAGCTTTTAGTTAGGGGAAGGGCAGATCAATATTGAAGTATTGATACTTCCGTCCCTGTCATTAAAAAATCAATACCAAGTTTTATCTTTAACTAGTATTGTTAATATTTCAACAGTATTGAAATGTAGAAATCAAAATGTAGCAAACAAGTGCATCATCAATTTATGGCCTAATATTAGGTTATTTAAATCATTTTAGCACCTTTTATTTCTCAAGCATGATTTTACAGTTATAGCACAATGCGTAAGCACATACAGACATAGACTGGGCAAGTAATTAAAGGGGAATACCAACCTTTTTTCAAAAATTGTAAAAAAAAAAATGTAATTCACAGAGTGGATTGATGTGAAATGGTTCATTGTAGTGAAACATACCGACTCAAGAACCAGGGGGAAGCATTGTCTACAACACAAATATAGCCATTTTTTTACTATCCAAAACAACCAGTAAACCTAGACGTATCTGAGTTTTTATACATAATATTGACAACAGTAAAATAGTTGTAAATCTGAAAAAAAAGCTTTTTGGTACTATTTCACCTTATTTTAGGCCTGCATGTACCACACTACCATTAAATTTTCTTTAAATTAAATTTTAGGTGGCAGCACAGTGGCGCAGTGGATAGCGCTGTTGCCTCACAGCGAGAATGGCCTAGGTTCGATTCCTGGCTGGGCGACCAGGGTCGTTTCTGTGTGGAGTTTGCATGTTCTCCCCATGTCTGCGTGGGTTTCTTCCGGGTACTCTGGTTTCCTCCCACAGTCCAAAAACATACAGTTAAGCTAATTGGACACACTAAATTGCCCCTAGGAGTGAATGTGTATGTCTGTTTGTCTGTCTGCCCTGTGATGGACTGGCGACCTGCCCAGGGTGTATCCTGCCTTCTGCCCAATGACAGCTGGGATAGGCTCCAGCACCCCACCGCAACCCAGAAGGATAAGTGGTTTAGATGATGTATGTAATTTTTGGGCCCAAATCTTATCTCAAAACTAGTGTAAAACAATGTCTCTGACAGGTGGCAGCATTTTTATAACCAATCGCTGTAATAACTTTCTGTGATGGAGGTTTTTGAGGCATTAAACTCTTCAGACGTCTGGTTCCCATCACCATCACTATGAACAATTCTAACACGGTGAGTTTCTCAAGAATGTATTATTTCATATCAAACCACTCAGAATGAGTTTGTTTACATCTTAACCACTTAAATGCACAAAGACAAAAAAGAAAAATCTATTAAATTCCCCTTTAAGACTAATCTAAAGACATACTATTATGGATGGATGTACTCCACTTTTCTCAATTATCTCCCCTTTTCATCAGTGCAAGAAGATTTTTAAAGGTAGAGAGGTACAATGCTGTGAAACAGTATCTGTCCCCTTCCCAATTCCTTCTATTTTTGCATATTTGTCACACGTGAATGTTTCAGATTATCAAACTACTTTTGATATCAGACAAAGATAACCCAAGTAAACACAAAATGCTGTTTTTAAAGGATGATTTCATTTATTGAAGGAAAAATGTTGTTCAGCTCTACCTGGCCCTGTGTGAAAAAGTAATTGTTCCCTTACCTACTAAATCAACCAGTTATACAAATTCAGTTGACTATTGGGTTCACTTTCACTAGCCACACCCAGACATGATTACTGCCAGACCGGCTGAGTCTAAACACCACTTAAACAGAACCTGTCTGGTAATGTGAAGCAGGCTAGATCTCAAAAAGCAACACATGATGCCACGTTCTAAAGAGATTCAAATACAGATGCAAAACAAAGTCACTGAAATCTACCAGTCTGTAAAGGGTTACAAAGCCATTGCTAAAGCTCTGGGACCCCAGCGAACCACAGTGAGAGCCATTATCCACAAATGGAGCAAACCTGGAACAGTGGTGAGCCTTCCCAGGAATGGCAGATCCCCCAAATTTTACCAAGAGTGCATCAAATGGGCAAAAATGGCATCCATGTGAGAGTTGCAAGGCATAAACCACTGCTGACCAAAAAGAACACTAGGGCTCATCTTGCATTTCCAAAAAACATCTAGATGACCCCCAAGACTTTTGGGATAATATTCTGTTGACGGATGAGTCAAATGTGGAACCGTTTGAAAGACATAAGTGCCATTACATCTGGGGTAAATCTAACACCGCATTCCACCATAAGAACATCATACCAACAGAAAAACATGGTGGTGGTAGTGTGATGGTCTGGGGCTGCTTTGCTTCTGCAGGACCTGGACGACTTGTCATAATTGATTGTACAGCGATGTAAAAGACTTACCGCAAGTTATTGCAAACATTTGATTGCAGTTGTTACTGCCAAAGGTGGCACAGGCAGTTATTAGGTTTAGGGAGGCAATTACTTTTTCAAATGAGTGATATATATATTTTGAATAAATCTATCCTCAATAAATGGACTGATCATCTAAAATCTACGTTTTTGTGTTTACTCTTTATCTTAGATTAAAATTATTGATTAAAATTAGTTGGTCTTAAACATTTAAACTTGAGAAATTAGCACAGATGAATGATGCAGATGAAATCGGGTGAAGGGCAAATTCTTTTTCACAGCACTGTAGTTTAGCCTTTGTATTGGGTATGACTCAGTATCAGATCAAACAGATAATCTGGGATGTTGCCCAACCCATACATTTCAATAGCAAGTAATACAAGCTGCCCAGTGAAACACAGCTACTGCATGAAGCGTCAGGCTTATCTCCTCTAAGGCACACTGTCCACACAGACAGGGATATGTGCTCAGATAAGACCTAGAGAAGTAAATACAGACGCACATAGACAGGCAGACAGAAAACATGAGTCATCTGTCGTCCTCGGCCAAGGAGGGGTTTGGAACACACATACACACATATGCAAACTCAATTTTTCACGCGAACAGCGAAGACAGGCTACGTGATGTGAGCCTCTCAGCATAACCGATTATTTTCCCTGTGGCCTCTGCAGGAGCCTGTCTGTCATGACTTGCAGTTTGTTTGGAGGCCTTCTTTTTCCACTGAATGAGCATTTTATCCCCTTGCCCATCCTTTTGTTCTTCTCTGGCTTGCAGTATTTGTTTTTTACCAAAACTTTGTGTCTGGCTTCATTCAGACTCTGTTCTTTTCCCCTCTCTCCTTTTTTCAATGGCTGCAGCTGCAGATGTAACTAACAAAAGACACTTCTGTTCTTGTCGAGCTCTTGTTCAAACACATTGAACCAGTCAAATGGAGTTTGAGATATAAGATATAAAGGCCTTTGCCACCCATGTTTTACTTTTTATTCGTCCGCGGTGATGAAATGAATTTAGACTTGTATTGAGCTGAGACCAAACAAACATACTTGTTGCTCAGTTTTCACGTGAACCTTCAGACTCGGTAGCGAGTCGTTTAAACGTCAGTGAGGTTTGACTCGTGAATGAATAGAATCTTTTGAACCGATTCTTTTTAATAAACTGGCCCAAACCATTCAAAAGTCCAACTTAATCGAGTGAACGAATGACTTCTAATGTTTGAAAGATATTATTTGACGGTCGAACCTGGTAGATTCACCATATTAAAACGCTGTAACATTAAGAACAATCCTTTCTGAATTTGCTTAGCCTACATTTTCTGTCAGTAGACTTCTGCTTTCCATTATTCTGCATATTTTCTCTCTGAGGTTGAGAGCTAAGTGCACATTAAGAGACTGACCCTGTTAGTGGCAGTAGCATAGTTGAATGAAAACGTTTCCTATCTGCTTTCCATGATTTTTGCTTATCCTGTAACAACAATTCATTATCCTAATTTAATATATACATATGTTAATGCTTAATTTCTACTCTTTTGAATCTATTGCATTTCTAGTCTCATTTTTAAAGGATTTTATCTTTGTATGTTTTCCTTTGTTAAGCATTTTAAATGATCACATATGCTATAAACTACATACATAAATATGCCATATAAATAAACTTGTCTTTCCTTGCCTGGCCTCAATACATAGGCTAACAGATCTGACCATCAGTCTGTACCGATGTTAGATCGGACAAAATCAAGGAACGTGGATAGGAAATAAAGTTTTAATAAGTCTACGAATCAAAGAATCATTGATTCGGGCGTTCGATTATTTTAAACGGACAGTTCAAAAGGATCGGTTCATTAAACTGAATCGAGCTTCCCATCACTATTAGAGAGGCGACTCCAGAGCTCCGTCAAAGAATAGAAATAACCACATTAGGCTGCTGTATATAGGAGGTATAAGAATAAGGTTGAAGCGAATAATCACTGTGCCCCCCACCAACACCGGGGAGGAAAATTAATCGCTGAATCGGACATGTTTGAATGAATCGGTTCGGGAGGCTGAATCGAGTCATTATTCACATCCCTATTAAACATTAGCCGGTTAGCAAAAAGAGGGCTGAAGAGGACCCGGGCTGTAGAGTTTTTGGGGTCGGTGGGTGGGGCGGAGAGTAGGGGGAGAAGGGATAGGGAGGGGCGGGAGTTTATAAAACGTGACATCACTGATCTGGGAGAAATCTCGGTTCAGCCTTCGGTTTGGCCCGAGCACAACGGGGAGCAAAGAAGATGCATTTTCTCTGATCTTCTGTGTCTCTCCTGCAATCACCGCGGCACGAGCGCTCTCGGAGTTTAACGGTCGCTAGAACCAACTGAGAGAACCCTCGGCGCGCGTGGCTCAGAACGGTCGGAGTTTGGCGGTCTTGTTTTTGCTCGTCGGAGGAGCAGCAGACTCGGAGGAGAGTTAAAAACCCCGCGTCTGGCTCCAGCTCCAGCTCCACCGGCTGCTGGGAGGTCTGAGGTTTGACTTGGTTGTCCAAACGCGCCGAGAGGAGCTCAGCTGACGGACGGACGGTAGGAAACCGCTCGGCTCGATGAAGCCTTGTTTTCATTGTGCTAACATACATGATTGTAGACGACACGCTGAGCGGTATCGCTTAAAGTTACTAGGCGTTGATGATGAAAAACGTCAGTCAATATTTGCTCGAATTGGTTTCATAGCCTACCATATGCTTCTTATTCCAATTTCCCCGTTCCACCTTAAATGGTGCAGCGGTTACTGTCACTGCTGCACCATTTAAGGTGGAACGGAGAAATTCGAACAAGAAGCCGGCGAGTACGGAGCCAGCGTCAGCCTCGACGTTTTCTGTTGAAATGCTTTTGTGTGGATGGGATGAAAGGATGAAAGGGCTGGGCTGGGAAGGCTGCTCACCACAGCAGCAGCCGCTGCACGGGCTGCACGCCCTGCGTTGCTCTTCACGTTCATATAAATGTAGCGAGCCTCCGTTTAAGCTTTAAACCGTCTTGTTTTTGTGGACGGACGTCTCTGTTTTTATTCCTTTGGCGAAATGGCCACAGCTCAGATGTGACCAGCTTCATGTCCCACCTCTGTTCGAACCGCTCCTGAACCCAATGGATCCAGCCATTGTGTGGCAGCCATGCACAGCCGTACAGACCAACACTCAGGTTTGCATCAGGTTACCAAATAAGGAGCAGGCCTGGGGAATATCCCTAATATCGCGCATTAATTTCTCCAGTGGTTAAAACAAATTAAAAACAGTTTAGACGACATTCTGTAGTGCTCTGTTGTGGTTGGTCGCGCATGTTGTGTTTGGGCCATTGTCCTGTTGAATGGTCTGTGTTTCCTTTGCTCATAAGATCAAATGTAACACCGTGGTCGATATTTATGGTGATGGACGAGCAGCACTGTATCCGTAGCATAAAGCACTTACAGCTCGATAGACGCTAACGCTACGCAAGTGGAAGCTACTGCTCAGTCATTTAGGAGCTGGACAAACTGTCTGTCATTCTGTTTACCGGAGACATTTAGCTACCAAACGTGCTCAGAAAATCAATATCCTGTAATGGAGCACAGTAGATCCTAATCGCCTGCAGGAGGTGTGGTGTAAACAGCCGTGATAGGGCCTGAAGCAGGATTTCTTTTTTTCAGTAGCTCTGGATCATTTAAACCAAAAGTAAAGAGAAATGTCCCTCAACTCTTCTCCCATTGGACAGACCTGACTTTGAGCCTGGACTTTAGCTGTCCAGCTATACTGAAAGCTCCCTCTTTGTGAGACACCTCCCTGATAAGGCCTCTGTGTGTTTAACCAACGTTTACTTGCCCGTTTTAGTTCAGTTGGAGATGTTAACTGGTGGACTTGGTGCCTGCAGGTCTAAAGATGAGCTTGGATTAGTTTATCAGATTCATCAAAGCAGTGTTTACACTGCAGAGGTTTAAGTTCATGACCGTTGTTTCGCTTTGCACTGGAAATGACCCTGATCTTTGCACCCATCAAGTCAAGGGAGCAGAGGCAACAGTTCAGTTTGGGGTGAACCTTATGTCGTACATACCAAAATCATTGGGGTGGAGTCTACCAGTGCATACAGTTCAATGCAGTTCTCAAATGTGAGGTCAAGATTGGAGTTTTATACTACAATGTCTAGTATTACAATAAGTCTTTGTTTGAAAGACAGCAAATTAAGGACAGTTGGAAAGGGCTGTGGGGTGTTTCAACATGGTCTTTTGAAAATGTGTTTGTTTTGAGCATTTGTTCTTTCAGTTTTATTTTAATGAATTGTATTAAATAAAATAATCCTGTAAAGCATGCATTACAAGAAGTTGTAGGTTTTCACTAAACCATTTGCTGTCCACTGGCAGCTGACATGCTGCTGATCCCATTTACATTTCCTGGGCTACTTTGCAAGATATCAGATTAACAAATGGGTGATTTAAAAGTGACAACTGCTGCAGCCCACTTGTGAACTTTCTCTGGTATGTCCCAAGTGTCATTTATGACCTGATGTGTCCTGATTGTCCTGGGCTGTCCTCTTCACTGTGGACTTAAACTTTGGGGGTTATTTTGTTAAACACACTTACAAAGGTGGCTGGCCAACTTTAGCCAATAGATTAGGCAGAACACAATAGCTTGGCTATTAGACTTTGGTTTAATTGACAACATTTTATGGAATTGTTATAAAACTTGATCATGCCTGATTGAAAAACAGACAGTTCAAATTTGTTCTTGATGAACTGGCAATGGTTAGTTGGTAGTTTGCGTGATATTGCATATTTTAAATTCTCCTTCTGGTCTCTCTTACTCTACTGAGCCTGATGGACATACTCCTTTTTATTGTTTTTTATTTATTTATTTATTTATTTTTTGGCAATTTTTTTAAGGTCTTCTAGTCTTTGAAAGGCTATGGATGTTTTTTAGTTCAGATACATCCATTTCTACTGTTTGGCCTTTCTTAAACCTATGATTCATTAAATAATCATTAAGTAATTGGTAGGTTACTCTTTTACTTGTATAGTTAATGATATACTATGTAATCGGCCCTAAATTTTCCATTATTGTCATAAAATCCTTGAACACAGGTGAGTTGGTTCTAGAATTGCTCAATATAGCTCCATCAAAGACTCCAGAGTTCTGATACAGAACTTTGACCATGGTGGCTTCTTGTCTTCCGCATGGTTTATGGCACTTGCTGTTTTGACAGTGTGGCTAACCTTAGGCCACTCACTGTGGGCCAGAATAACACAGTTGCTTCAGGTTATTTTAGACATTCTATTAACGAAAAGTCTTTTGGCCACACTGTCTCATAGTTTGAGTTAACAGCGCTGTTTCTGGAAGTAATTGCTTCATAGTGCAGTGGTCCTGGAGATTTGAATGAACAATGTGAGTCTGCGGTTCTGCATTAGCTTGTGTGGGCCCGGCTCTGGAAGCTGTAATGGTTACTTTTGGTGGTGGCCATCGCCGTTGCATGCAGTGAGCTAACGATTTCATCATTCTTTGAGTCACCAGTTTAATGTTTTCCACAGTCTCAGGCTCCTCTGTGGTGTGGGGGTGTGTGCTGGTCTAGATGATCGAACAAATGCTAGTTTTTGTCACTGTTTTGGCTCAGTGGCCCTTTCCCTGTTCTCTTGCGGACTCAAGTTGTGAGTGTCCGTCTCGCTTGTGTGAAACTTGGATGTGGCAACATCGCTGTGTCCAAGTAGAAGTTGCAAACAGAGTTGGAGTCCTGATTGCAGCTTGATTTTTGGACTAGTTTGCCCAATCTAAACTGAAAGAAAGATGCCAGATGTTAATGTGTTCAGAATGGTCCATGCTTTTAACCCTTACACTGTTCTCTACGTAGCATTTGCCATGTAGTGAACTGAGTAACAGACGACCAGAACATTTATTGTATAATTCAGCCAACACTACAAAATGATTAACACACTATATAAAGCACCGTTTCTTCAACAGAGAGTGATCTTTGCTAGAAAAACACAACTTATTTTTCACTCCTTCATTTTGTTTGCATTTAAAGAGGTACTGGCCTGTATTGTGTGGAGTGTTCAACTTTTACAAAATCAAATTCTTTAGTATTTGTAGTCTCTGTTTTGCAGATTTTCTTTGAGTTAGATCTTATTGCTTGGGACTTATTCTTTGCTCAACCAAAACTCAACCAAACATTTCAACAGCAGCCACTTTGTGACTGGTACAGAAGTTTCTTAAGTGAACTGGAAATGTTTCAGAACCATAATGGTAGTTTTTATAGGTGATGTGAAAAGCCAGCTGAAAAATTGGCTTTGAGATGAAGGTGATGTCAGCTTTGTTAGTTGTCAGGAGAGGCCTGGCAGCTGAGCGGCTCATAGCCCGATACACAAACACGCACACATTGGCGGTGTTTGGCATGTAAGCAGACTCCTCTGCCCTGTTTTTAATCCACTTGGGCACGGTCCCTATCTATTACAAACCCCACTGTGTGCTGTACGCAGACCACACTGTGCCAAGTGACTCAACCCATCACGCCATCCATCATCCACCATCTGCATCTCTCTCTCTCTCTCTCTCTCTCTCTCTCTCTCTCTCTCTCTCTCTGTGTAACTGATCACTACAGAAAATTGAAGTTTGCAGTATTGGCTTTCTTTCTGAGTGTGTGTGCATTAAAGGGCTGTGGCTGCCACCTGACGGCCGAGGCCTGGCTGTCTTTCTTTTTTGCTTTCTTCCACTCACTTTCTCTGCTTTTTCTCTGTTTTTTTTTACTTTTCTCTGGCTTACTTTTCTTTCTGTTTGCCTCTTATTTTTGTTCGCTTTAATCTTCTTTTTTGTTTTTCCTCTCTGCCCTTTCTTTCTTTTTCCTCTCCCTTTTGCCCATCGTCTTTTTTTTTTTCTCTGATTATCTCTCTTTGTATATAATTTTCTTTCTCTTTTTGTTTTTGTTTCTTCTCCCTCTCTCTTTCCTTGCGTTCTTTTCTTCTCTTTCTCTCTCTGTCAGTATATATTTCTTTCTGTATCTTGGATCTATTTCTTTTCTCCCTCTCTCTGTTTCAGCTAATTGTCCTTTTGTTTCTTAGTCTGATTCTTTTCTCTTTCATTTTCCTTTCCCCTTTTCTTCTTCTAGTTCTCTTTCTCTATTCTCTCTTATTCTCTCTTGTTCTCTCTCTCACTGTCTCTCTCTTCCTGTCACACCAGATGCCCCCGTCATGACTTTGCCCAGCCCCCCACCAGCTTGGCATAGTAGAGAAGACAATAGAAAGCGTTTCTCTCTTAATCCTTACAATACACAGACCCCATATCGAACCCTGCAGGGTCATTACGCCCCATTCACACCCCGACCAGCGCTAGACACTCACATGCGCACACATGCATGTCTGGTGCTAATCCGACTGGATGGTAGAGACGCTGTCTGCTTCAGCAGGGCTTTCCTGTTTATCTGAGCCTGCGTGAGCAGTTAAAGCTCCCTGTATTCAGCCATCTTCAGCCCCCTTTCACAATTTACGCCTTGAATCTTCTTAGTTTATACACTGAGGTTTAACCTATTACCAACACAGACTTAAAGGGCAAATGTCATGGAAAACTACATTTTCT